CCGCAGAAGATTTGCTCTGCTAATCCACCAGGCCTAAACTCTGGTGCTTACACACCCTTCTGATTGAGATGAAGTCCTGGGGGGGAAGGAGGGGGAAATGAGATTAAAAGGGATTACCATTTGGTAATCTCTCCGAGGGTCGTGGTCTACAGATCCAGTCTGTAAGTTTCTCCCAAGAAGGAGATAAACACTGTTTATTTTCCTTGAAGGATTTTATTTATCCTTCTCTTCTTTTTTATGGTGGGACTTGAACTCAGGACCGAGGTATTGCCCCTTAGCTTTTTCTTTTCCCTCAAGGCTGGCGCTCTACCACTTGAGCCACAGCGCCACTTCTGGTGGTTCACTGGAGATCAGAGAGAGTCTTTAGGATTTTGCTGTCCGGGGCTGGCTTTGAACCGTGACCCTCAGACTTCAGCCCCCTGAGCAGCTAGGATGACGGGCGGGAGCCACTAGTGCCCAGATTTAAAAAGTACTTATTTTTCGTGGTCTGGTCATGGATCCTGGCTCCTTCATGCCTGGCAATGGCTCAGCCATGGAGCTGGAGTCCAGCCCTGGAGTCTTTTAAGGGAAGGAGTTTGAAAGCTCTCATCTAGGCTGATCGCCTTTCAGAATTTTCTGGAAATGTTGCATTTTTAAGTCACCGAGGCAGGGCAGGGCTTTGAACCGCACCCCGTAATCTCCGTGAAGATCTGAGGAAGTGGGGTGGGGAAATGGGTCAGACCGGAAGTGGGGTGGGGAAATGGTTCAGGCACAGGAGGTGCAGAAAGAGATCAGGAAAACAGCAAAAACACGTCTCAAGATTTGTACCAGTCCTGGGGCCCTGGGCGCTGTCCCTCAGCTCTTCAGCTGGCCTTTTCTGCTCATGTGGTGCTGAGGAATCGAACCCAGGGCCTCAGGCATGTGAGGTGAGTACTCTACCACAGAGCCACCTGCCCAGCCCCTTCTTCTTCTGTTTCTACTCCAGGCTAAAGATCTCATCATCACCCCAGCTACCACGTTCAAGGAGAAGCCGGACCCCAAGGGCCTGGTGTTTGGCGCGGAGTTCACAGACCACATGCTCATAGTGGAGTGGTGCGCGGACTCGGGGTGGGGGAAGCCTCAGATCCAGCCTTTCCAGAACCTCTCCTTACACCCGGCCTCCTCGGCCCTGCACTATGCCGTGCAAGTAAGCGTGTGTGTGTGTGTAAATTAACACTCATAAACAGGGCTCTCCTGTGGCTCCTATCTCATCCCAGCTACTCAGGAGGCTGAGAGCTGAGAAGGTTTGAAGCTAGCTGGGGGTAGAAACGTCCCCGAGACTCTGATCTCCAGTGAACCAGCAAAAAGCTGGAAGGGGAGCGTGGCTCAAGTGGTAGAGCGCCAGTCTTGGGTGAAAAAAACAAAGGAAGAGTATCTAGACCCTGAGTTCAAGAGCAGCTCAGGGACAGCACCACTTCTGGTTTTCTGGTGGTTCATGGGAGATCAGAGTCTCAGGGACTTTCCTGCCCAGGTTGGCTTTGAACCGGGATCCTCTGGATCTCAGCCTCCTGAGGGGCTGGGATGACAGGCGTGAGTCTGGTGGAATATTCCGGCACACAGTCAGTGTTTTGAGCCTGGATGTGTCCGCTCACTCAACGTGCTGTGGCTTTTTTCTCTTTTTTCTGCAGTTGTTTGAAGGTCTGAAAGCCTTTCGGGGAGTTGATAATAAAATTCGACTTTTCCGGCCCCACTTGAACATGGATAGAATGTTCCGGTCTGCCGTGAGGTCCACTTTGCCGGTATGAAAATTCAGATGGAAACACGTGTTTTTTTTCTGTCCGTGGAGCCAGTCTCTCTGAACTGGCTGCTCAAATTAAAAAGAAAAAAAAATTGTTTCTGAATTGCTTCCAATCGGTCCCCACGGAGGTGAGTTTCTGATCCACTTCCATGAGTCACGGGAACGTTGGAAAGAAAACACCAGCAGCTCCCGCCTGTCATCCAGCTACTTCAGAGACTGAGAGCTGAGGATCACGGTTCAAAGCCAGCCCGGGCAGGAAAGTCCCTGAGACTCTGATCTCCAATAAACCACGAGAAAACTGGAAGTGGTGCTATGGTTCAAGTGGTAGAGCGCCAGCCTTGAGCTGAAGAGCTGAGGGACAGCGCCCAGGCCCTGAGTTCAAGACCCAGGACACACACACACACACACACACACACACACACACGGAAGAAAAACCCTGGTGAAACTAATCTAGAGGCTTCAGGAATGATACTGAAGACATAAAATATAGGGTACAGTATAGCCATTTGGGGGGGGCATACTGTTTTCAGACACTGAGCCCAGATAATCTACCACCACCCTGAACTCAAGGCCTGGGCGCTGTCCCTGAACAGCTTCTATGGCTCAAGGCTGGCGCTCTACCACTTGAACCATGGCGCCATTTCTGGCTTTTTCTGAAGTAGTTTATGGAAGACGAGTCTCATGGAGTTTCCTGCCCAGGCTGGCTTTGAACCGAGATCCTCAGCTCTCTGCCTCCTGCGTAGCGGGGCTGAGGGGCGTGAGCCACCGGCATCCAGCCGTGTTGGTTTATTGCGTATTGATTTCACTACAGAGCGGGGAACAGCATTGACCTGAAGGTACTTTGGATTGGAATCTGAACGGACATCTTGAGGATGTCTTATTATTATTTATAAATAATACCGAAGCCTCCCGCGTGCTGCGGGGGTCAGGATGGAAGTTCGTTTTGTTTCGTCTTTCAGGTGTTTGACCCGCAGGAACTACTGGAGTGCATTCAGCAGCTCATCAAGTTGGATCAGGAGTGGGTGCCGTATTCTACCTCCGCCAGTCTGTACATCCGGCCCACCTTGATTGGAACCGAGGTACACGCTGAACCCCTTACCCACCCGGGATTCCTGCTTGGCGGGTTTAGTTCCACCACCAGCGCTGGTGGCTCCCGCCTGCCGTCCCAGCCAACCTAGGAAGCTGAGATCTGAGGATCCCGGTTCAAAGCCAGCCCGGCTTGACTGCTGATCTCCAGTGAACCAGCAAAAAGCTGGAAATGGAGCTGTGGCTCGAGGAGTAGGGTGTCAGCCAGAGTTCAGGTCTCAGGATTGGTGTGCGCATGTGTGCACGGACACACACACACACACACACACACACACTCTCTCACACACACACACACACACATGGCTTTTGTTATTCATCGAAGTGACTTTCTCCATTTTCTTCCTTCTGCGGGGTCCAGTCAGGCAGAAGAATTCTCCACCCGCTGAAGACCGGCATGGAATGTTCTCAGCTCACTGAGCTCTTTCTGCCGACCTGGAACTTGGAAATCCTTCCTATTTCTCTGAATCCCTCAGTGACCTGGAAAGAGAGGCCTGGGGGCAGACTTTTGTTAACTCACATCCCCAGGCCGCCCTGCGAAGCCAAACTAGTCCTTTCATTTCTATCTATTAAAAAACAAAATAGATATTTATTTATGCTTATTTTTAATTTTAATTAATTAATTTTAATTTTATTTTTATATTTGCTATTTATATGTAGTTACATGTGTTTATATGTCTATTTATATAGGTTCACTTATATAATTTACATATATCTTATTTATGTATTATAATAATATTTATATATTTTATTTTATTTTTTTGCCAGTCCTGGGACTTGAACTCAGGGCCTGGGCGCTGTCCCTGAGCTTCTTTGGCTCAAGGCTGGCGCTCTACCACGTGAGCCACAGTGCCACTTCCTGCCTTTTCTGTGTCTGTGGTACTGAGGAATCAAACCCAGGGCTTCATGCATGCTAGGCGAGCACTCTACCACCGAGCCACCTGGCCAGTTTCAGTCTTGTTTCTTGTACTTAAGGCCCGGGCACTGTCTCTAATTAGATTTGTTTTGTGCAAGGTTGGTGCTCTACCACTGGAGCCACAGCTCTACTTCTACCTTTTTTGGTGTTTAACCGTAGGCCCGAGTCTCACAGACTTGGCTGACCTGGGCTGGCTTTTCATTCAAACCGCGATCCACAGGTCTCAGCCTTCCCAGTGGCTGGGATTACAGGCGTGAGCATCAGCACCCGGCTTGGTTTATTTTCTCTTTGAAGCAGCGGGGTCAGTCTTTGAGAGATCTCACAGGGTGAACTTCATAGAAACACAATTAAGGGATGGCCAAGGAGGAATAGGATTCAGCCAGGACTTACCCAGCATGGAGGAATTAATTCTAGCCTCTAATTTGCCTACTGGCTTAGAATGAAGAAGATTTGGAGTCATTGAGATTTCCGCTGGTGCACTCCACACTGCCACCTAGTGGTACCGTGCAAGGCTGCACCCAGTTCAAAGGTGACGGGTGTTATTTCTATTTTATTTCTTTTCTGGGTTATTTCTCTTTCATTTCTTTGGTGTTATTTCTCTTTTATTATTTCTTTCGCTGCGGGGCAGGCTGGGCATTGCTCGCTCTACCACTGAGCTCTGCCCTGAGCCAAGAACGAAGTGAAATTGATCACAAGAAAGAGTTTTCAGGACGCTTCCTGAATGTACTTTGAATCTAACTGCAGGTTGCCTAAAATACCTTTGTTCCGAGTGTAAAGCAGGTCCCGGGTATTCAGATCACAGCCAATGAAAATGCGGTCACTTTGTTTATAGATCTATTGGACACTCACTGTAGTGTGGTTCACAGTTCTGTTGAGAAACTTCCCAGGAGCTAAAATAAAGCCAGGCGCTGGTGGCTCATGCCTGTAATCCTGGCTACTCAGGAGGCTGCAATGTGAGGACTGAGATTGGAGGCCAGCCAGGGTAGGAAAATCCGTGAGACTCAATTAATCACCAAAAATCCCGAGGTGGAGCTGTGGCTCAAGTAATAGAGCGCCAGCCTGGAGCAAAAGCTCAGCGACAAATGGCCCTGAGTTCAAGCCCCAGAATCGGCATTAAAAGAAGCCCCAAAACAACAGAACAAAACAAAACTAAAACTAAAACAACGACCTATACACAGCACCCAGGAAAGATGCTGCGTACCGAAGGTACGAAGGTAACGTTGGACCTTTTTTTTCTTGTCTTTTTTTTAAATTGTGCCAATCCTAGGGGCTTGATGAACTCAAGGCCTGGGCGCTGTCCCTGAGCTTTCTTACACAAGGCTGGCGCTCTACCACTTGAGCCACAGCGCCACTTGGTGCTTATTTTGGGGTGGTTCATTGGAGATGATGCCAGGGCTGGTTTTGAACCACAATCTTCAGATCTCAGCACACACACACACACACACAGCTAAACCACACCAAAAGCCCTTCACAGGTGCATCCTCGACCCCGGCCTGGTGTCAGACTTGTGGCTCACAGGTGTGTGTCCCTTGTTTCCATTGCAGCCTTCCCTGGGCGTGAAAAAGCCCAAGAAAGCCCTCCTCTTCGTCATCCTGAGCCCTGTGGGGCCTTACTTTTCCAGTGGAACCTTTAACCCTGTGTCTCTGTGGACCAACCCTAAGTATGTTCGAGCCTGGGAAGGAGGCACGGGAGACTACAAGATCGGAGGGTAAGTCCCTCCGGGTGTCTGACTGGCATTCCGTCATCACCGTTGTATTCCATCGGCCCAGGGAGAAGCCTTGGTGGCTGGCTGAGTCTCTTCATCTGGTAGATCAATAAGAGAAATTGGTAGGAGTGAGGCCAGGTGCTGGTGGCTCACGCCTGGCCTCCTAGCTACTCGGGAGGCTCAGATCCTTTTCCTTTTTCCTCTCTGGGGGTCTTGAACTCAGGGCCTGGGCGCTGTCCCTGAGCTGCTTTTGCTTAATGCTAGCGCTCTACCATTTGAGCCACAGCTCCACGTCTGGCTTTTTTTTTGAGGAATTGAACCCAGGGCTTCATGCATGCTAGGCGAGCACTCTACTCCTGAGCCACCTGCCCAGCCCCTGGAGGCTGAGATCTTGAGGATCGTGGTTTGAGATCAACCCTGGGCAGGAAAGTCTGTGAGACTCTGATCTCCAGTGAACCACCAGGAAACCGGAAGTGGAGCTGTGGCTCAAGTGGTAGAGTGCTAGCCTTGAGCAAAAAATGGTCAGGGACAGTGCGTAAGCCCTGAGTTCAAGCCCCTGACTGACACAGACACACACACACACACACAGAGTTAAGGACTAGTTAGAGATATTACTCATTGTGGGTAATTCTGGGTAGCTCTCAGATCTGGGACACACCTATAAGCACACAGAAACCAACCAACAATGGAAACTAAAATCAACCATGTAATAGTCAGCTACCTCAGTGTAGGCCTGCAGGAGGCTGAGAATCCTGCTCAGTGTTTTCCAAGGAATGGTGTGAATTTGGCACAGACCATGGTAACAGATCATTCTTCTTTTGGTTGGTTATGGGCTTGAACTCAGGGCCCGGGTGCTGTCCCTGAGCTTTTACGCTCAAGGCTGGTGCTTTACCACTTGAACCATGGCTCCACTTCTGGCTTATTTTGGTGGTTCAGTGGAGAGGAGAGTCTCATGGACTTTCCTGCTGAGTTGGCTTTGAACTACAACGCTCAGATCTCAGCCTCCTGAGTAGCTGGGATTACAGGCATGAGCCACTGGCCCAGGGCTTGGTTAAGTAACAGATTAAAATGTAAATGGCCTGTGTAAAATCAGACTACAGAGAAAGTTCAGGAAGAAAACCCACAGGTTTAGGCCCAGAAATCCAGATGATTCTAGACTTCTGGAGGTTCAACCTGACAAGGAAAACTAACATGTTCAGCAGAAGCTACACTTACTTTAAATAAAGTATTTACTTATTTATTGTGCAAGTCCTGGGACTTGAACTCAGGGCTTAGGCAAGGGCCCTGAGCTTTTGTGCTCAGGCTAGCGTTCTACCACTGGGGCCACAGCTCCACTTCTGGCTTTTTGCTAGTGACCTGGAAATAAGACTCACAGGGACCTTCCTGCTTGGGTTGGCTTCAAACCACGATCCTCAGAACTCAGCCTCCGGAGTGGCTGGGATACCGGGCGTGAGCCACCGGGGCCTGGCTGTTTTTCCTCTTCCTATGAGGATTTGCTCTGGAGGAAGACGAACACATTCCAGTTCTGTTCTCGAATGAGTTTCCTCTAATGTTACGCGGTCAACCAGATGGCGTCCCATGGACATGACTATTAGAAACACAATACATTGTCTGCACGTGCGGTGAGCGAGTTGCTAGGGCCAGATGGAGTCTTTGGGGGTGATCACTGGCAGGTTGCCTCTTCTCTCCAAGGAATTACGGCCCCTCGCTTTGGGCTCAATGCGAAGCTGCAGAGAACCAATGTCAGCAGGTGCTGTGGCTGTACGGGAAAGATCAGCAGATCACCGAAGTTGGGACGATGAATCTTTTCCTCTACTGGATAAATGAGGACGGAGGTAATCCGCGTCGATCTCTGCGCTGCTGGTTTCTCTGGGGTTGTCTTTTGTCATTCGTGGGCCTTGAACTCAGGGCCTGGGCGCCGGCCCTGAACTTCTTTTTGTTCAAAGTTAGCGTTCTACCCCTTGGAGCCGCCCATCCACTGCTGGTTTTCTGGTGGTTCGTGGGGGATCAGAGCCCCACGGACTTTCCTGCCCTGGCTGGCTTTGAACCGCGATCCTCACAGCTCAGCCTCCTGAGTAGCTGGGATGACAAGTCTGCTTTTCTGTGTTTCATTCCATTGTCAGTCTGGCACTGCCCAGCTGGGTGGAAACGTCTTCGTGTGGCTCTTAGCCTGGGAAAAGCCAGACGTGGCCGAGTTCTTCCAACCTCTGCTGGGTGTCCTTAACACCGAGAACTTCTGTTGGAGAGTTTGGCATTTCAGAATTATATACGATTTCATATACATACACATATATGATTTGATATATACTATGTGCTGTATATTCTATCTTAATATATTACATGACAATATCCAATGTTTTAATATACAAATAATATATTAATATATAGCAATATATTAATGTTATTAATACAATACATATATTGCACATTATATATTTACATAATACATAATATCAAATATATAAATAACACACTAATTAACTATACGGTAATAGAACACAAACATAATATATAATACATGTGTGATATATAAATGCATATTATTTATACAATATGTTTTATATATACCATGTTATATAAATGTATATATAATATATAAATATATATTTCTTTTTTTTTGGGGTCCAGTCGTGGGGCTTGAACTCTGGGCCTGGGCACTGTCCCTCAGCTCTTCAGCTCAAGGCTAGAGCTCTACCACTTGAGCCACAGCGCCACTTCCGGCTTTTTTCTTTTTTGCTTATGTGGTGCTGAGGAATTGAACCCAGGGCCTCATGCATGCAAGACAAGCGCTCTACCACTGAGCCACCTTCCCAGCCCATAAATATATATTTGTACTATATTATATTTATATTTTTGTATGCATAGGTTTATGGGTATTATACATATATTTATGTAACATAGATGTACTTATATGTATTCTATTTATTATGTATTTGTTATATATGATTTATTATATATTTATCATATATACATATTGTTTATTACATGTATAATATATATAATGTACATACCCATATACTATATTACATACAGTATATTATATACTATATATGCTATATTTATATATTATATATTACGTTATACAATATATGCTATAATATACTATATAATATATTATACTCTTATATGTATACTATATTATTATATACTATATTATATACTTTATGTAACATATAGTATATGTGTTATATATATATGGTATGGAATTATATATACGTATAAACCCATGAGTCCATCCATCCACCTTGTTGGCCTCTGAGCTTGCGAGGTACAAATCGAGCTCAGCTGTTCCTCCCTCTGCCCACCCAAACCACGTCCCCCTTCCAAAACAGAAGACCTCAGTGTGGCATTCAGAAGCGGTCCTGTCATCACTTCTGGGTGGCTTGGCGCCCCGTCCAAATGCACCTACGTGCCTTCCTCAGAAACAGCTAGAAATCCTGGCGCAGGCTTGTGCTATAAACGGCCTCCCACTCCTGCCGGGAACGTGGGAGCTGGCCACTCACCCCGGCTGGTGACGCACCCGGAATCCTGAGGTTGGAGGATGGAGGGCTGAGGTCAGCCCGGGCTGCGAAGGCTCTGAGACTCTTTGTCTCCAATGAGCCACCAGAAAGTCAGAAGTGGAGCTGCGGCCTCCAGTGTCAGAGCCAAATGGAGTGAGAGACTCAGTTCAAGCACTAGGACCGGCACATACACAAAAAAGGACTCCAGAGCCATTCTGTAGCAAGTTTGGTTTAGCTGTGGGACATCCACAAAGAATAGTAAGCTGGAAGTGAGCAGGATGATTAGCACCGATCCAGTTAGCACATGCAGCGTTCTTGTGAGATGCTCTTGTGCAAGCTGGCTGGAGTATTCAGATCCAGGAGCCGCGCAGTGCTGTGCAGAGTACCCCTCCGCTCCCGGATCAAGCTGCCGACTGCTGGCTTCTCAGGCAGACCAGGCTCATTGTGTGAACGCACGGGACCCGCAGCGTCCAGGTCCTGGCGTTATCCAGACAAGCAGAAGCTGTGGGGGAGTTGATGTTTGGGGAGATCGGGCGATGCGTCTGGGCGTTGTTCCTTCCATCCTTCAGTATACACTGGACGTGTGTCCCTACTCTGCTAGGAGCCTTGTCAAGACCAACCTGTCTGCAGGGTGAGATCTTCACCACCTCCAGGCCCAGAGTTCAAGGCTTAGGACTGGTACATGCACACACACACACACACACACACACACACACACCCCATACACACTGATTAATGATTTAAATTTTGAAAGTATTCTGAATTCCTAATTTACAGAGGAAGAACTAGCGACTCCACCCCTAGATGGCATCATCCTTCCCGGAGTGACCCGGAAGAGTATTCTGGAACTGACCCGGGACTGGGTAAGGGGCCTTTGACCTTGGAACCTTGTTGTTATTGTTGTTGTTTCTAGGGCTTGAACTCAAGGCCTGGGCGCTGTCCCTGAGCTCTTCGTTCAAGGCTAGAGCTCTATGACTTTGAGCTACAGCGCCACTTCTGGTTTTCTGGTGGTTCACTGGAGATCAGAGTCTCACAGACTTTCCTGCCTGGGTTGGCTTTGAACCACGATCTTCAGATCTCAGCCTCCCGAGTAGCTGGGCTGGCAGGCATACACTGCTAATGCCTGGTGGACCTAAAAATATGAGAATTGAATAAGCCATTGTTTGGCACAGCTTGTTGGTTAGGATTTGGGGAGAGATGTTCAGACACCCGCCTATTACCACTTTTCTGAAGAAACAGACTGAAAATAGCGGAAATAGTTTCTAAATAAAACTCCAATTCAGCAAGGCCCAACCACAACCTGGCTGGCACCTCAGACGTAACATATGCCAACTGTTGGTAGAACTTTCCAGCAGCTGTGTGTGTGTGTGTGTGTGTGTGTGTGTGTGTGTGTGTGTGTGTGTCAAAGATAGGCTTGGGGAATGTGTTTTAGTAAAGGAATAAAAAAACCCGCCCAGCACACAGGATCTGGTGAGGGTTGTGGTGTGGAAATGGCTTCCTGCACGATTGATTTGCTAGCCAGAAAATCAGATTGTTTTTATGAGGGGCTTTTATGTTTTCCTTTGTGACTCTTTAGCTCTAATTTATTTTTAAAAGGTGGTTATTTTAGCCATAAAAGTGCCAAAACGCACGTAGGAGATGGTCAGTCCTTCTCCGACAAGGGAGATTGCCCAGAGCTAAAAGAATAGCATCAAAACAAGAACAAGAAAAGGTTGGCCTTTCTGCCTATTCATCCCCTTCTACCCCCAAATACAGAACACAGCCTGCTTTTGTTTGTTTGTGCTGGTGGTCAATCTTGAAGCCTCTCCGTAGTTTTCCTGCTCAAGGCTGGTGCTCTGTCACTTGAAACCATGCCTCTAGCCCAGTTTTTTGTTTTTGTGTGTGTGTGTGTATTTTTGAGATTTATTTGAAGTTAAGAACTTTGCTTACAAATCCCCTCAAGCTTATTTTTTTTTTATTATTTGCGTCCATTCTCATTGCCCTAATTCACACATCTGCTGACAAATTTTGAACGTTGATAAGTACGAGGATTAAAAGATTAAAGAAGGAGCCGGCTGCATGTTTGTGGCTCATACCTATAACCCTAGCTACTCGAGAGGCTGAGACTTGAGGATCGAGGTTTGAAGCCAGCTTGGGTAAGAAAGTCCATGAGCCTCTTCTCTGCAGTGAACCACCAAAAAGAAGTGGAGCTGTGGTCCAAGTGGTAGAGCGCCAGCCTTGAATGAAGAGGCTCAGGGACAGCGTCCAGGCCCTGAGTTCAAGCCCCAAGACTGGCACACAAAGAAAAGTTGTAAGAAGGAGTTTTAATCCACACAAATACCATAATACAAAGGAAGAGGATTATTAAAGGGGTGTGGTCTGCTTTTGACTTGATAATAAATCCAGGTGCTGGGTGGCTCAAGCCTACAAATTCAACTAGTCAGGGAGGCTGAGATCTAAGGATCATGGTTTGAAGCCAGCCTGGGCAGGAAAGCCAGTGAGATTCTTTTGCTGTGGCTCAAATGGTAGAGAGCTAGCGTGGAGTCCAAAAGCTTAGGATCAACGCCCAGGCTTTGAGTTTTAGCCCCAACACTCACATACAAAAGTAAAAATAATTAAAAAGACACAGTAGAAAGAGGACCAGTTGGAGACAAGACGGGATCTGAGTTTGAATTCAGTCTCTGCCCTTTATTAGCTGTACAGGCTAAGGGACGTCTCAACCTGGCTAGACCGCATGCTTCGTTTTAGAGTTCAAGAATGGGTCTTGCTATGTGGCCATTACAGCTATTCATAACATTGCAACGCTATACATTGAGATTTGATAGGAAAATACATGTGGATCACGTATTTAAGGGGCGCTGGGAATTCATGAGTTTGTGAGAGTTGGTTGGTGACATCCATAAAGGTTACAAAGCTGGTGTGCATGAAAAAAATCCTGTGTATCTGCTGAGTGGCTCCCGCCTGTCATCCTAACGACTCAGGAGGCTGAGATCTGAGGATCGTGGTTCACAACCAGCCCTAAGCCAGAAGAGTCTGTGAGACTCTGATCTCCAATGAACCACCAGGAAACCGGAAGTGGAGCTGTTGAGCTCAAAGTGGTAGAGCGCTAGCCTTGAGCAAAAGAGCTCAGTGACAGTGCCCAGGCCCTGAGTTCAAGTCCCACGACTGACCAAAGATAAACTAATAAAACAAAGATTGCCTTTTCTTTTTCTGTCTTGCCCACAGGGTGAGTTCAAGGTTTCGGAAAGGTACTTGACTATGGCCGAGCTGGAGAATGCACTGGAAGAGAAGAGGGTGAAGGAGATGTTTGGCTCTGGGACGGCTTGCATTGTTTGCCCGGTTGCTAACATCGTGTACAAAGGCCAGGTGAGGAAAGTTGTTCTTCATCACCTGGCATTCATTACTCACCATCCAACTAGAATTTTTCTTAGTGCCTACCTTGGGCCTTGAACTCAGGGCCAGGGCGCTGTCCCTGAGCTCATTCACACAAGGCTGGCGCTTCTACCGCTTTGAGCCACAGCTCCACTTCCGGTTTTCTGGTGGTTCATTGGAGAGCAGAGTCTCACGGACTTTCCTGCTGGGCCTGGCTTTGAACCGTGATCCTCAGATCTCAGCTTCCTGAGTAGCTGGGATGACAGACGTGAGCCACCAGCATTCAGGATGCTGTGCTTTTCTTCAGCCTAGGATACAGTATATTGTTTGCTGTGCTAGTAATGATATTTGAGAAACAAAACACCTGTTATAAAGTTATTTCTATTAGTATTTTTTTAAAAAACAAGGTCATTTTCTGGAAATAATAAGTAACTTGCCAAACCCAAGAAAATGAAAATGTGTTCTACATTAGGAAGAAATCCATGTACTAGGGCTGGGCAGGTGGCTCAGTGGTAGAGAGCTTGCCTTGCATGCATGAGGTCCTGGGTTTGATTCCTCAGCACCACATAAGCAAAAAGAAAAAAGCCGGAAGTGGCGCTGTGGCTCAAGTGGTAGAGCGCTAGCTTTGAGCTGAAGAGCTGAGGGACAGCACCCAGGCCCAGAGTTCAAGCCCCACGACCGACCAAAAAAAGAAAGAAATCCATGTACTAAAGACTCCATTAGAAGTTAACAAGATTTAGAAATAAAATACACCAAGCCAGAAGAACTTGGGGGAAAAGTGCTTGTAACTGATCTATTCTTTTCCTTTTCTTTTTTTGTGCCAGTCTTGGGGCTTGAACCCAGGGACTGGGTGCTGTTCCTGAGATTCTTTTTGCTCAAGGTGAGCACTTTACCTCTTGAGCCACAGTGCGACCTCTGGCCTTTTCTGAGTAGTTTATTGGAGATGAAAGTCTCACAGACTTTCTTGCCTAGGCTGGTTTTGAACCACGATCCTCAGATCTCAGCCTCCTGAGTAGCTGGGATGACAGGCGGGAGCCACCTGTACCTGTAAATCATTCTTAAAAGATGAATTGACTTAAGTGACACATATTAAAATATAGATATCTAAGTTGACATTCTAATGTTCTTTCCTTTGCTCATTGGTTTGATTTTTTTCTATTATAATTTTATTATTTTTAAGGGCTTTTTGTCAGCCTTGTAAGTCTAGCTGTAACATTGCCTATGGATTTTGTACTTAGCTTCATCACCTAATTCCATACCCAAACTGTTTCAAGGAAGAAATATTCGTTTATTTTATATGAATATTTATTATACATTAATAATATAATCATTAATTATATATCATATAAGGAACAGAACATACAATTGTTCATTAGATTAATATTAATACATTAATGTTCATAGGAATGCTTATTAAATAGTCTTGTTTTAAAGAATGAGAGTAATAGGCTTTTCGGTAATGTAAGTTGGCTCAATTCATGTAGCAACGTGGGCATTGGATCAGATTTTTTTTTCTGAGCTCAGTTTATGATTTCACCTCTGGAAATAAGTTTACAGAGCTGAACATGTTTTTAATGGCCCTGTCTTAAGAAGCATTTGGAGCCAAATGGTTCATCTAATTATCTTATTACCGTCAGGAAAGAAAGATATTTCAGAACAGGACTGTCTACTAAAATCAAGCCATCAACGTTTTCCAGGCCTGGAGGCGTGAACTGGCAGCAGGAAGGCCAGGCTTTAGTAAATCACCCCTTCCAGACGGGGGGCTCACAAGGTTTTCCTCCGTAGGAGTTCTTAGAAGCTTCTGTGTAGGTGTAGATTGGCTCTAATTCATGCCCCTGCTCTGGCTGGTTCTAATTTTTTGACAAAATATATTCTTTTGTTCTCATTTTTTTTTCCTAGATGGTTAGATGCGAAGCAGAATTATTCATCCTTAGACATTCCCAGAATCTTTTTTTTTTTTTCTTTCTTGCCAGTCCTGGGACTTGAACTCAAGACCTGGGCGCTGTCTCTGATCTTCTTTTGCTCAAGGCTAGCGCTCTACCACATGAGCCACAGCGTCACTTCCAGCTTTTCTGTGTATGTGATCCTGAGGAATCGAACCCAGGGCTTCATGCATGCTAGGCAAGCGCTCTACCACGGAGCCACCTGCCCCAGTCCCGATTCCCAGAATCTGGAGAGGTTCTGAGTATTGGATCCAATATTTTAGGATAGAAATAATTCTCCTTGACGCCTTTTATCAACTCAAAGATTGATAGGCAAACTGACAAACCAGTGCTGTCCCAAATCCAGTTGGTAAGAAAAAGAATGGAATGACTTGTTTTTGTCTAATTGTGTGTGTGTGTGCACCATTCCTGGGGCTTGAACTCAGGATGTAGGCACTGTCCCACTGTTCCTTAGCTGGTTTTTTTTTGCTCCAAGTTGGTGCTCTACCACTTGAGTCACAGCTCTACTTCTGACTTTTTGCTGGTTCATTGCAGGTAAGAAAGAGTATCATGGACTTTCCTGCCATGGCTAACTTTGAGGATTGATCTCAAGATCTCATTCTCTGAGTAGCTGGGATTACAGGTGTGAGCCACAGCAGCCCAATTGGGGTCTTAATAGCTTTTTCTTTCTATTTCCTAGGTATTACACATTCCAACTATGGAGAATGGCCCTAAGCTGACAAGCCGAATCTTCACCAAACTGAATGATATCCAGGTAAGAGGGTCTTTGTTTGACCATAGTGCCAAGAGGCTGGGCGCCGGTGCGCACACCTAGAATCCCGGCTACTCAGGTGGCTGAGATCTGAGGATGGTGGCTCAAAACCATCCGTAAGACTATCTCTGAATCACTACCAAAAAGCCAGAAGTGGAAATGTGGCTCAAGTGGTAGCCTTGAGCGAAAGAAGCTCAGAGACAGTGCCCAGGCCCTGAGTTCAAGCCCCAGGACTGGCAAAGAAGAAAAAAAGAATAATAACCTCTAAGTATTCAGGCCACTTAATTAATGAGGCAGTTAGATTTCTGAGTGGCAGATTCCTCTACTATATTATCTCATAGGAGAAGAGCATGTACAAAACTATTTATCTGCCTATCCATCCATCTATTCATCATCTATCCCTCCATCTATTATCAATTTATATCTATCTATCTATCTATCTATCCCTCCATCTATTATCAATTTATATCTATCTATCTATCTATCTATCTATCTATCTATCTATCTATCTATCTATCTATCTATCTATCTATCTATCTGGGTTCAAGTCCTAGGTCTTGAACTCAGGCTCTGTCTCTGAGCTTTTTCATTCAAGGCTAGTGCTCTACCCCTTGAGCCACACCTCTGTTTTATTGTTTTTTTTACTATTACTTGGAGATAGAAGTCTCCTGGAATCTCCTGTCAGGGCTGGCTTTGAACCGCAGTCCTTAGAACTCATTCTCCTGAGTAGGTAAGATGAAGGGCGTGAGCCACCAGTGCCCTGTTCTTTATTTTCCTTTTTTTTTGGGGGGGGGTCCAGTCATGGGGCCTGAACTCTGGGCCTGAGCGCTGTCCCTCAGCTCTTCAGCTCAAGGCTAGCACTCTACCACTTGAGCCACAGTACCACTTCCAGCTTTTTTCTTTTTGCTATATAGTGCTGAGGAATTGAACCCAGGGCCTCAGGCATGCAAGGCAAGCACTCTACCACTGAGCCAACTTCCCAGCCCTTTTATTTTCCTTTTATAACTCATTCAGCATGGGACCGAGATCAAAATACACAGTGATTTTTTTTTTTTTGGTACAGAAATATAGCAGAGTGAGACACTGAAGAAAATACCAGAGACAATAACACAACTTAAGAGGAGGGTCTTTTGTTTTTGTCGGTTGTGGGGCCTGAACTCTGGGCCTGGGCGCTGTCCTTCAGCTCAAGACTCAAGGCTAGCGCTCTACCACTTGAGCCACAGCGCCACTAAGAGGAGGGTCTTGAACGACGTTCTGTCAGTCAGTATCACCAGACTAGGATGAGAGACTGGAGGCAGCTAGCTTTATAAAGTAGGAAGGTTTGCTTGGCTCACCGCTAAGACCGGTGGGCCTCTTAAGTTTGGACTCACAGTGGGCATTTACATCTTGGGCCAGAAAGAGGAGGTAGACCCCCCCCCCACCCGTCACCTTAAAGAAGACAGATCTACCCCCCAACAAACAACACAAAGCAATCCCCCCAAACAGAACCCTCTTTCTAAGTTCAGCCGGGACGGTACATGCCTGTAACTCTAGCTCCCCGAGATGCGGGGCTCTGCGGACCACGGTTCAAGGCCTCGACCCAACCAACCAACCACACTCACAGAGAACTGGAAGTGGAGCTGTGGCTGCTCGATGCACCTGCCAGCCTTGGGTGAGAAAGCTCAGAGACAGCAGCCAGGCCACCAGCTCAGGCCTGAAGATGAGCACAAAAGTGCTAAGAAAAGACAAATCCCAGGAACCTAAGGCCTTTTCTGTAGGCCCCATCCTTCCAGAAAGTTCCTGAAGACAGCCCTTCTGTCTGAGAACCCAGCGCCACACCAATGTCAAACCACCTTCAAGCAGGAAGCTTTCCAGACACAGACCCCGCTGTCTGCATCACCTCAAACCCGGAGCAAGTAGAAAGGCACACGGGACCCATGGGTGACCACGGGGCAGCCAATGAGAAACCATGTTCAAGTTCTGTCCCTTCCGCGCCCAGCAGTCAGCCTTTTGAGCCGACTTCCTGTATGCATCTAAATTCCTGTCCCCAACTTGGTAGATTGTTTGGGGCTGGAGGAAGTTTATTTTTTGCCAGTCCTGGGGCTTGAACTCAGGGCCTGGGCACCGTCCCTGAGCTCTTCAGCTCAAGGCTAGCGCTCTACCACTTGAGCCACAGCGCCACTTCTGGCTTTTTTTTTCCTGTGTAGGTGGTACTGAGGAATTGAACCCAAGACCTCATGCATGCTAGGCGAGCACGCTACCCCTGAGCCACCTGCCCAGCCCAATCTCTCCCTCTTAGGTGAGCTTTTCTACTGAAACCCGCTTTCTTGCTTTTCTTGTAGTATGGACGGGAAGAAAGCGACTGGACGGTTGAGCTGCCCTGAAGAATGAATTCTACCAAGATGGACCATCCTTTGCTTTTTTATTTCTTGTTAGAATTTCGATAGATTTACTACCTGCCAGTGGCTGTGCACAATGTAGTTGGAATTATTAGTGTACAGCACCGCCGATCGCTTCCCTTGTTCCACGAGACAATGCCTTGGGATTGTTGACTGCTCTGTGGACACATGATGTCACAGTCATTTTACCCTTTTACCCACAGAGAGCCCGATGACACAGATGACTCCTGAATTATAACATCGCCTCCAACTCAGACTCAAAACCGATTTCTTCCTTTTGCTAAGGTATTTCTCCTCCACCAGATGAGCTGTGTGGGGGTGTGTGTATCTGAAAGGTGATTGAGTAAAGCCCGTAGGTCATTATCCTCATGATGATTTTCTAATCATAACTGAAAAAATGGGTTTCTTCCTGTTAAGTGATCTCAGTCAGTTAAATCTAACGGAAGGTAAATATTCTCCTGTTTTCCTCCCGTTTTACCTCTGTGGAAGCTCACGTATTGACAACATTGCCCGATCCATTGTGAGCAGGACTGGAAGAGCTGGGATTTTAGTTGTTAGAACCCTTGGCCTCTTCCTAGATGGATGGGTGACACGAAGAATGAATGAATGAGAGGTTGAGCCTCTCTTGATGTGTTTCTGTACTGCAAAACCTCCATGTAGAATTTGTGAGTGGTGCTGGCTGGGTATAGCAGTCACCTCCTACCGTATCTACTTTCCATGGACTCTTAAGTCATCACAGTCACAAAATGGCGCCCAGAGTTGGAAGAAATCGCTTTTGTGTAGGGAGACTGTCTTGGAATGCAGGTGGTCACTGGGATGGATTTCATGCCACCATTCCAACCAAGAGTGAGTGTGACGTGTTACGTGTAAATCGAGTTGAGCTTTATATGTGAAGTGTTAAATGTAAACGAAGCTAAGCAAGCAGAGAGGTGTACTCTGGTTTTATCATCTTTTTTGGGGGGTGTGGGGGAAGCGAGGCTGTTGGTGCTCTAATCTGCTGAATTTACCTGTGGGAACATTTGGTTAGGGTACAGAAAGAACAACTGTAAGTGGTCTTTTCCTCCTGTGTTACACTTGTATCCTTCCCTCATTTGTCTAGGGGAAGCTGAATTTTGGTAGAAAACACTGATCCTTGGGAAATCAAGGTTCCGATTTGGGGTTTGGTCTTAGTAACTTTTAGTCCATAGATCATACTTCCTTCTCTCTGCCGAACAAAGAAAAGACAGTGTAAAAGCTTAGGGTGTTGGAAATAATTTCCTGATGGCATTTAATGATACATAGCAAATGAGATTTGATTCTTCTTCTCCAAAACATTTCATCTTTTAGGGGCTTTTTTATGTATGTGGATATCCTGGGGTTTGAACTCAAGGCCTGGGCGCTGTCCCTGAGCTCTTATGCTCAAGGTTAGTGCTCTACCACTGTAGCCACACCTCCACTGCCAGCTTTTTGCTGGCTTGGAACCCCAATTCTTAGATCTCAGCCTCCTGAGTAGCTGGGATGACAGGCAGGAGCTACAGAAGCTGGCCTGCCCTCTCTGGTTATGTGGCTATCCAGGAGAGACATGAAGGGCATTTTAACCATCAAGTGGCAGGCAATCGCTGGGCTGGTGTCTGTGGAAAGGGAGATGGCCATTTTGCTCTCTCTCTTCCTTTCATCGTGGGCATTTGTAAATGGAGTGGAGAAAGCTAGGGAACGTTATATTATCATTTCTTTCAGAAAACCAGGAGAGCGTGTGAAGTCTTTTCTGCTAGATATAGTGAACGCTAACCACATAATTTTATTTTAAAGGGAGGGGCTGGGAAGGTGGCTCAGGGGTAGAGCGCTCGCCTTGCATGCATGAGGCCCTGGGTTCGATTCCTCAGTACCACAGAGACAGAAAAAGCCGGAAGTGGTGCTGTGGCTCAAGCGGTAGAGCGCTAGCCTTGATCTGAAGAGCTGAGGGACAGCGCCCAGGCCTAGAGTTCAGGCCCCACAATCGACAAAAATAAAAAAAAAGGGGGGGGGGAGTTGGAGTTTAGAATTTTGGCTGCCATGTTCAAGTAATAAGGCAGGAAATGGACCTTAACGTGAACTTGTTAGAAGAGATTGACAAGGACCATTTGCACTTCTTTATCTCCGCCCCCCCTTCATTACTTGTGTAATTTGAGCAAGAGTACCACAGTCTCACCTTTTGTTCTGCAAGACTTAATTTATCGTCACACTGATCGATTATTGGCGGCCAAAGGTAAATCTGGAGACGTGCGAAGCTCATTTGCTCTGCCCTGGACCCCCTCCCCAAAAAAATCACCAAAAGGAATATTGTTACTGATTCCTGCATAATTGGCTGCACTTACTTCAAGTCCAATTGGGTGGCCAAAGAGAATTCAGCGATTCCCAGCACCCCCTTCCTTCCCAGGTTCTAATCTTCCTTCCTTTGTTGTTATTATTCACACACACACACACACACACACACACATACACATACATACACAGCCCGAGTCTTCCCCCGCCTCCCTCCCCCCCCATCAATATTAAAAGAAAAAAATCAATGAAAACACTAAGAAAACTTGGGGTACTTCCCAAAGAGATTTCCTGATAAGACTTATTTTTTTTTTCTTCCCAGAAGTGATCAGCGATTGTATTCCTATCAAATCACAAGAAGTGTCAGACTTCCAGTCTATATAATACATTTTCTGGTCCCCGGCAGATGGTGAATTAATAATTATTAGTTTAAGTAATAAAACCTACTGTACCCTATGCTTTTAAAAGCACCAGGGAACAGGAGGAAAGAAGGATTGAGAAATCTTATTAGGAAATCATGTATTTTTTTCCCCCCTTAGTATAATGAACTATGTGATTAAATGTCTTCTCAGAAAAGATTTGGAGCAATTTACATTATATATATATATATATATATATATATATATATATATATATATATGTATATATATAAAATGTATATATATATAATGTATATGTATATATAAAATGTATATGTATATATATGTGTCTATATATGTGTGTGTATATATATATATATATATTATATATATTTGTTAGTCGTGGGGGAGCTCGAACTCAGGGCCTGGGCGCTGTCTTAGAGCTCTTCAGCTTAAGGCAAGGACTTTACCACATTGAGTCACAACATCACTTCTGGTTTTCTGGTGGTTCATAGGAGATCAGAGTCTCACAGACTTTCCTACCAGTGCTGGCTTTGAACTGTGATCCTCACATCTCAGCCTCCTGAGTAGCTAGGTAGCCACCAGCACCCGGCTAAAGAGCCCCCTTTGTGTTGTTTTGTGTTGGTTCATATGGTACGTAAATAAGAGACCTCACCTGCTTTAATTTGAGCACTCTTGGACTCTTTTTCTTGGGGGGGGGGCGGTGAAGGTCAATAACTGAGCAGAAATCTTAGGTGGCGAGATTGGAGGGATTTTATATTGCTCCTGCTTTATGGGGCTGCTGCTGAATCAGCTGCCAAAATGATATTTTCCTCCTCATCCTCTCTCCATTCTTCCACCCTTAGAATATTGTGTGAGATTGTTTTAGCCGTTAAACTCAGGGAACACTGACTTTTCTCCAGATTGCCCGGGGCCCCCCTCTGCAGGTGATCCTTTCCCGGAGTATTTAGAGCAATAAAAGCTCATCAGCAGCTCAACACTGTGAACTCCCGCTACTCAGGAGGCTGAGATCTGAGGGTCTTAGTTCAAAGCCAGCCTGGGCAGGAAAGTCAGTGAGACTCTTAACCTCCCATTAAACCGCAAAAGACAAAGAAAACTAGATGCGGAGCTCTGGCTCAAGTAGTAGAGCACCAGCTTGGACTAAAAAGCTAAGATAATGCTGATGGCTTGAATTCAAGCCTCAGTACCAGCACAAACATCAGAATGAAACTTATCCCATGCAGATCTCAGGATCAGCAAAAGACTTTGTTCCTGCCCAGATCTGAAATCTGAGCAATGCACCCGTTCCTGACAGTGTTTTTTTTCTTCTCATTCTTTTCTTATATTCTTAAAACGGAAGTGACCAATACACATGCCAGCAAGGAGTTTTAGTGAAGTTTCCAGGAACCCTCACTTCCGGTTGCCATATTGAGATTTGCTTAAGCAAATTTGGGGGCCCAAAAGAGTTTAAAAGAGTTTAAAAGAAAAAAGAAAAAGAGAAGTATTTCAGCTCTTTGCTGATCGTAATGCATTCCTGAATCATTCCTGATGCGTGCTGTCTACTGGTAAAATGGAGGTAGTATAATCACCAGTGTTCATCTTCTGCATACATAGCACTTGGATCAAAAGTTTGTCTTAGAGACGTGTAAGCATGAACCTCTTGCAGTTTGTGGTCTATGAGCAGAACATAGCTTAGATAGAAAAGTGGTATTTAATAGTTAGCCAATGAAGAGGAACACCAGAGCCTCATACCTGTTATCTGAGCCGCTCAGGAGGCTGAGAGCCGAGGATGGTGGTTTGAGGCCAGCTCAGCCAGACAAATTGGAGAGTCTGTTAGGTCCAATTAACCAGCAGGGAGTGGCGGTATGGCTCAACTGGGAAAATGCTAGCTTGAGTGTTCAAGTCCCCAGGAGGGAAGGAATAACAAGAGCCTTTTATCTGACCTTGAAGATTAAGTACAGGAAGGAAGGAAGGAAAGAAAAAAGAATCTTCTCATTTTCCATGGGAAAAATGTCCCGTTTCCCTTCTATTCCCGTAGGCAAAACGATTCGGGAAGTCCGATTTGTAGGTGGGTGGTGTTTATAGCCTGTTATCTGGGGTGATTTTCACCTCCTGGTTTTACATGTTGGTTGTGTGCATTCATTATTTGTTTTCTATGAGATTGGGACTTGAACTCAGCACCCACATTTCATTCATTGGCTCTCTACCAACTGAGCCGCGCCGCTAGGCCTGGCTGCATTTTTTTTTTTTTTTACAGTGCTGTTGAGTTGGTCTGTCAGAACCTAGGAAATAAAGTAAATAATCCTAGAGTGGAATTTTCTAGCAAGTGTCTTTATGAAGCAAGCTGTTTAAAACTCTTTAGCACAACAGCGATGGATCTAACTTACTCAAAATTTTCACCTAACCACGATTTCTCACAGTGTGAGATTTTCTTTTTTTTTTTTTTTTGAACGAGAAATGCTCCAGTGTGGCAGAGACTCATTTTTACACTGCTGGGACATCCTTTTAAAAAGGCAAAGTTGAGCAGGTGCTGGTGGCTCCCGCCTGTAGTCAGAGCTTCTCAGCTCAGTAGGGTGAAAAAAAAAAATCAAGCAAAAGCACGAGACCCTGAGTTCAAGTCCCAATACGGTAGCCCAAATCAAAAAGAAAAGAAAGAAAAAAGGAATCTTAGTGAGCACTTCACCCCAGCTCTCCAGGGTGAATGAGAATGGATTTGTGGCTTCAGTGATGATCGTTGAGTCTGGAACTAAAATGTGTGTTAAAGCCACAGTGTGCTCAGATAAGTTTCACTCGGCCTTGAAATGTGTTCTCAGGGACGAAGAAAACCAGACCAAATGGCTTCCTGGACTGGCATTGCGGCAGATGAGTTTTCTAAGATGGTAGAATGTGCTACCTTGGGTCAAGTCTGAAGAGTAATGATGGATTAGTGGTTGAAATGGGAGGATCGTGAAGCTGTGGCCATTTCTGTCCCCCACCTCCCCAATAGCAAGAGATTAAAATACACAAGGTCACCCCTGGTCCATCTGTGAATCCCCTCTACCTTTGCTTGCTCGTCCTCCCCTGGAGGACCTGGATTTAAATGGAGCCAGACAAAGCTGGGCAGGGAAACTACCTCATTGTTCCAAGGCTGAGTAGCAGCACCATGAACCAATGGCTTTGACAAATGGGCGAGACCAACCGTAGCTGGAGGGGTGGAAAGTGTGTTGCCAACAGATAACCTGTGCACATGGCTTCTCATGAACTACTTCTTCCCACGCGCCTCCTGTCACCAATAAAGCAATTTAGAACAAGATGGTGCTTGTGTGGTCTTGTGGTGGTTGACGGGAGACACCGTTCTCCAAATTGTCCAAAGGGTCTTCCAGTGCTCACAGGAGAAATATAACGGGGATTTGAACAATATTCTTAGCCGGGCACTGGTGGCTCACGCCTGTCATTCTAGCTACTCAGGAGGCTGAGATCTGAGGATCACGGTTCAAAGCTCAGCCTGGGGAGAAACATCGGTGAGACTCTTCTCTCCAATGAACCACCAGGAAACCGGAAGTGGTGCTGTGGCACAAGTGGTAGAGCACAAGCCTTGAGCTGAAGAGCTGAGGGACAGCGCCCAGGCCCTGAGTTCAAGTCCCATAAC